CGACATATTAGTACAATCAAAAACTCCATCTTGTGGAAAATTGGTTAAATCAATGCAATACCATAACTATAAACACACCTAAAAATCTTTTGGTTATAAGGTCCTCTTCCTGACCAAATCAAGAAGAAAACTATGGTCTATGATGCGACTCGTGAAAGGTTATCTCAAAACAATAGAAATCCATACAACCCACTTACTAAAAAACTATTCGTATTTTGACAACATTTTGGTGCACCAAAATACAAAGAATGATTTAGAACCTGGTGTATTTGATTGGGGTTTCGCAACTGTAACAAGTAGAGTGAGACAGAATCTCAAGCAAATCAGAGGAACTGACGCAAATAAAGTCCACACAATATATAGGATTTTCACCAGAGTAAGCAAAACTCAGGACCCCGATAAATGTAGCATGTTATCCAACACTACACATGGAATTTGATCAAAGATTCGAAACCTATAAGCCAAATCTTGTTATGAAACACCACGGCTGTTAAAAGTTTTAGTTTAGATTAGAATGATTATCGTTGTTTAGATATACTTGTGTTCAAGGTCAAGTAAAGTCCGCTTGTCACGAAGATGGTTTTGTAGTATCTGGTTTGAGTTGCTCTTAAAGTTTCGAAAATTCGGTTTTGAAAGCGATCGTTTCACATATGATTTTATGTAAGCAACTGTTTTTTTCATAAATTTAGACAAAGCGTGTCATAAGATCATAAATTATGTGAATTTTTTCGTCACTTAAGGTATTTAGGAAGTTCGTAGTCTACTTAGTTGGAATATGAAGGATCTAAGAGAACCTCATTCTGCTAAATCGCATGAAAATTATCTGTAGTCAGTAAAATATGCTATCATAAGTGTATCGGTTGAAGGAGTTATCGTAGCACGTGTCTCTATAATAAAACTAAATGGGCAAGACTTGAGAGCTGTCTGAGGGGGGATCCTAAAGTTAACAGTCGAAATTAACGAGTATGGGGACTAAACACCCACCGTTGCAAAGACATGGCTCGTCCTAAAGATAGACCTTTATTCAATCTTCGAAGGATACGTCTCTATCGAAAGTGATAGGGTCATGAATTACTAGACAAGAGGCATAATATCTCATCAGAGGTAATTTCAGTGTATCATAAGGCACAGCAGAAACGCATGATATTTGTACATTTGAATTTGTGTGTTGTGTATTGGAGTCTAGAAATTGATTCATGACTGAAGGAGGGATATAATGCAGTTCATATTGTCACTGACAACTTTATCCCAAGTCATACTTTTATCTGGAGTTAGTCTGCTTCTTGTCTCATCGTTGGAGATTTCAGCATGTGCACATCAACTGAATAGAGCTTACAACTTCAAGTGTACGTCTCGATGTCAGGTTACTGTCAAATATTCAATTAGCACTTGCATAGTGTATCTCGAAACGGACACATTGACTTGGAACATGGACCATCACTACTGAACCTTCTTTCCACTCACCATGTCAATGATCTCATCGACATCCAGTACCTGCCCGGACCGGCAAATAGCAACCAAGTAGTACTGTACTTGAGGTTTCAGACATGTAATGCGTCTGCCCAACATCTGGCGGGCTAACATTCTGGCAAATGTTTCAAATGTCTCAACACTTCGGTTGGTCAGTGTGGACGGCTCGGCTGAAGATGTGTGGAGTATGCTTAAATCCACATTCGAGTCTGTAACATCCTCGTTCAGCCCATGGTCAACACCTAATCTCTCAGATTGGCCTCGAATCGATATAAAAACCTGGAGATTGCTGCGACCTAGGAACTACTTCTGCGATTTGTCTTTTTCAACGTATCATAAATTTTCTGAGTATAAATACCAGAAAGTTCATAATATATGTAAAACGGTTGTAACAGGAAACTGCACCATACCAGAGAGACTGTTGGCATAGGATTTCCGTGTATGCCCAAAATGTACATTAAGCGAAGAACAAAACGTAGTAATTCAAATCTTTTATTATTGCTGCACGAAAATTTAGGTATACTATCTGTACACTGTATCCAGTGCTTCCCGTCACATTAACGTCCTCATAATCCAGCCGACCACCAGGAGAAATGGAATAGGTGAGAGTAAGCTAATTTGCCTGTCACGGGTCTTTACTTCTAACGAGTCTATCAGCTATCCTCGGTGCACGATTTTGCATTTTGATCTATCAGAAGAGTTCCGTATGATGTTGACTATCTTCTCAGGCACGCTGTGGCGTCGAAGAAGCCTCCATAGTGTTGTCCTGTCTACGCTCTGAAATGCTTTCCCATAGTCAATGAAGTCAATATAGATTCGTGGGTTCTATTCAATTGGTTGTTCCGCAATGATCCGTGATGTTGCAATTTTGTCAGTACTCGATCGATCCTTACGAAATCCAGCCTGTTGATTTCGAAATTTGGAATCTACAAAGTCCTTCATTCTGTTTAACAACACCTTGTTGAAAACTTTGCCTGGTATTGAAAGAAGAGTGATGCCTCTGTAGTTCTCACACCTCCTGGGATCTTTCTTGGTTTTCTTGGTCAAGTTTCCTTCTTTCCAATCTGTGGGTACTTGTTCTCCATCCCAAATATTGTTGAAGAGAATGTGAAATATTTTTGCAGTTGCCTCCACATCTGCTTTCATTGCCTCTGCTGGAATGTTGTCTGGTCCTGCTGCTTTGTCACTCTTGATTTGTCTGACGGCCATTATGATCTTGTCAATTGTTTGTGGGCCAACAATGTTTGGAAGGTCCATAGGTGCTGCTTCGATGTTGGATGCATTCAGTAGGGCTGGTCGATTCAAGAGTTCCCTAAAGTGCTATACCCACCTGTTTCACGGTTCTTCATCGATTGGTTTGCCTTCCATGTTCTCCAATGGTCATTCTGGTTCACTAGGTTTTCCACCATGCCTCTTCGTTGTATCGTACAAATATCTCATGTTTCCTTATCTTGCAGCCTTTTCCGCTGTCATTGCTAGATCTTCCACATATTTTCGTTTGTCGACTCTGATGCTCTTCCCCATTCACCTGTTTGCTTCTGTAAATTCAGCTTGTGCCATAACTTTCTCTGCTCTTGTTCGGCTGATGTTGATTGCTGCCTTGTTCCTCCTTGCTTCAATTTTTTCAAGAGTACCAACAGAGATCCATTCCTTATAATAATACTTCCTGTGGTCCAGAACCTTGTGACATGTTGAAGTGTCTGCATGCTTTATCCATTCCCAGTTCTTCTCCATCTTAATTTCCTCACCCTTGAATAGATCGTGCAAGGTCTGGAACCTATTGCTGAGGGCTATCTTGAATTTATTGAGTTTTACGGTATCCCGAAGAAAGGCCGTATTAAGCTATTATGATACTGTTCAACCCGTTGTCCAGTGACTATTGAGTTTCGATTTCATCTTGTCGGCTAGCAAGTTACGGTCTGAGGATATATCAGCTCCTCTCTTGGATCTTGCGTCCTCCATGGTCCTTCTGAAATTTTTATTGATGCAGATATGGTCGATTTGGTTCTGTGTGCTGTGATTCAGTGAAATCCATGTAGCTTTGTGTATGCGTTTGTGTGAGAATATGGTGCCACCGAAAACCAGTTTGTCGAATGCACATTGGTTTGCAAATCTCTTACCGTTTTCGTTCCTTTCTCCCAGTCCATGTCGTCCCATGATGTCTTCATATCCAGTGTTGTCCATGCCAACCTTGGTATTTAGGTTTCCTGTCAAAATGATGGAGTTCTTTGGTGGAAATTTCTCGAGTATTGACCGCAGTCTCATGGAATTGATCTTTAACGTTGTCATTGTAGTCACTGGTAGGCGTAAACCATCGGATGACGTTCATTGTAATGCCTTCTTTCTTTGTTTTGAAGGATGCTTTGATGATACTGGGTCCATGATATTCCCATTCTACCAGTGCCTTTTGTACTTGTTTCGACAGCATCACTGCAACTCCTTGTGTATGTAAGGCATTTTATTCTTCATGGCTGGAGTATAACATGACAGCAGCTCTCCTGAAGCTAGTCTTTATTGTCCAACTTGTGTCTAATGTGTTTCACTAATTCCAAGCACCTCCAATTTGTATATTTTCATTTCTGCAGCAATGTGGTGCAGTCTTCCGGTCTGCCACATTGTACGAACATTCCACGTACCGAAAAGAATGGTTTCTCTGGTTGTGAGAAGGGGCATCGACCTGGTGACTTCCGAGGGAACTCGGCTTTCATTATGAGACGTCATAATTCTTCTGTAAGAAAACCTTCCAACTCCCAGGGAAGAGTTTGAATTGCCTAATTATTTGTTCCGGGTAGTGTTTTTAGCGAGTTAGTTCTCTAAGAGATGAAGTTGCCAGCTCCATGCTCAACTGCCCTTTATTATCCCAACTTGGAACTGGCTGTTGCCCTAAAGAGGCTCGAGGCGAAATTCCTGATCGATATGGGTTTCGGAATAAGTAATCATGCTTTATTTAGTGCGAGAGAGGATTGAACAGCAATCCAAGATAATGGTTTGTAAGTTGATGTGGTATTTTATAAATAAGTAGCAAAGCATTTGATAAGGTTTCCCACTTAGTTTGTGATACAGCAACAAAACAATACCTATATATATGTATATATATATTACGTAATCGCTTTAGATTCATGATCATGCAAATCTTCGCGTGTATTTTTTCGAGAATCGTCCAATACAAACGTCTATATTGCCTATAAACTAATCTGTTGTGGTTGCAACTTAACGGCCAGTACTGCTAGTGGTTTCATAGTTAGGATTCGAGTTATAACTGGGTGCACACCACTTTATGGATATTACACAACACACATGTGGTGCATCCAAACATTTGGGTAGAGTTTTCTGTTCAAATTAAATTGTGTAACCTATCTAAAAACATGTTGTTACGCATACACATATGTATGCTTTCCTTATGAAATGGGTTGATTTTTTAGGTTTACCAGATTGTTGACTGACACATTTTCTTCCAGATTATTGGCCGCTGTGACAGCAAAGTGTTGCCATGTTAGATCTGAATCTGCCAGCAACTTAATTTTGCCCAAATGTCTTTCACAGCAGGAGGTTTACGTCAGTCTGTCCTCAAGGATTTCGGAAAGGTCTTCTCTCTGGTAATTTTAAAATCATGTTGATTAAATTGTAGTTACCAGGGCAAAAGATTCTGCTTGTGGATGCACAGCTGTTGAGAGCAATCGATCGTGTGGCCAGTATGTCTGTTTTGAGACACTTATCGGTTTCCAAGGTGTTCAAAATTGCTGAAAGTCCTCCAAAGGCAGACTATGAAAGGTGAGTTAGCTTTCTTGAAGATGTATTTATGTTGAATGGCCACTTCGGTTCACCTAAGACGCTATTGTGCTTCCGAAATTCGCTCAGTCATTTTAAGTATTTCATCCCGACAATAAATCCTCAGAATCTACTCGGAGTTTAGTGTCTCATTACATCAAACTAGCCAAAGAAAAAACAATGACCTCCCCTATCATCCGGCTGCCATTACAGTGGAGTACAAGAGTTCACTAAACCCTTTTCCTAGAAATTTTACTTGGTGTGGTAGAAGAATAAATTTTGTTGTCGACGTAACTCACTCATCACAAAGCTCAAACTACAAAAACAGCAGTCAGTTGTCTATCCAGTAAATCCATCAACTGCGTATCGAAGTATTACCGCAGTATTGTCCAAAGTTGTCGCTATCGGTGGCAATGGTTATCCTATTTGTCTGCAGATTAACACAGCTCTCAATATCCTAGCAGTATAAAGCCTGGGTCTTGGTAGTTAATAGGTAGACAACACATGTCAGACAGCAGTCTTCATATATTTCGGTCATCTTAGGGGCTTGAATTTGAATGAATCCTGTGTGCCGTCATTTTCAGTTTCGTTATTAACAGACTGTTTTTATTTGATTTAGGATTGCTTATATGATCCCACCGGAGTTTAGCTCATGTTTATCGGTAATTAAACATTGTGAAGTGGATCAGTCGAAAAACATCAAACGAACAAGATTGATAATATTTGTCCCTAAAGAGGTACTCAAATTTTTCCAGTTAATTACTTGAAGCATTAGTATATTATATGCTTTCATACTTAACCTTGATTTCTTAAGGACTTCCCATTCAAGGATTTATTAATGGCTTTTTTGAGTTAAGTACGCGAGCACACGTTATGTGTTTGAAACTTTGTATAAAAACACAACAATTCTGCTACTCATCCTTCTCAACTTACCATCTAGAAACGCCGTGTAAGCAAGTAACAGACTTTATAATATCGGGGAGGCTAAATCACCGTTTTTATCCTGAAAATTCTTTATTTCACGTTAAAGAAAATCATCTCTGTCACACTAAGTTTTGCTTTTATGCTGTAATCGGCAAAAATAGCCGTAGATATCACTGTTAATTTAAATAATTCAGCCTAAGTTTCACACCATTCAACATAATCGAAAGCTGGTTTGTTATCTAGGTATACCTATTCATGGGACTAGCAGTTTCATACTTAATAATCGCATAAATATTTATGACTAGACATGAGTTTTGGCGAACTCCAATACCATTAAGCATTATTCTATTGCTCATGACGATATTATGACCAAAATACTGCATCAGATGTTAGCTACTATGGTAATTCTCAAGACATTCACTCCATTCTATCCTTTAGCCCCGATGTGGGGTGAAATATAACCGAGAAACTATTTATTCAGGTTCGTTCCGCCTTCAAAAATGAAATACTTATGAAAGACACCTTAAACTTAAATTACTGATTTATTATATTAGTAAGAAGTAGTTATGAACTTTTCAGTAAAGAATTTCGACCCTTTGAGTTCCTTGTCCGAATCTCGCCAACTGGAAAATAAAGTAAGCAAATGATAAGAATTGTTAAAAAAGAAGGAAAGCTAATCGAGTACCAAGTCTACATGAACTTGTACACAACCAATGAAGTTTATCTTTCACGTTTTACATGCTTCATGCTTCGCTCCCGAAGTCTAAACTAAATTTCTTCCAATGCAATGTTTGCATTTGTATGAATCATGTATGTTCCTAATGATAGAGGAAATGAAGTGACTTAGTTTTATGCAACGAATGTTGTATTTACATTTTTCAAATCCTTCACAATGGTTTAAAAGTGTTTAATAGTGACCGATCTCATCCAAATCAAGATATTATTCAGTACTATTAATGAATCTCATGATATTCATTTCAATATTCCGTTTCAATTTCAACATATCTGTTTGTTTCTTTAGACTGTAGCAATGACGTATCTTTTAGAATCTCGAGGTTTTCTCGGTCAGCATTTATGTACTGCAAGTTTATCACTCAGTTGGATTCAATTAGATACAGATTTATTAACATTGAATATGCCTACACTATTTCCAGATTTCTATTTATATAAGGACTATTGTTGGCCTCATCACATGGGTATGGAGTTGGGACGTTTGCTGAAATTAACAAGCGAAAATGATTTAGCTCCTATGGGTTGTCGAGTAAGTCTGTGTTATTATTTACAACATAAAGTAATGATAGATTACTGTTAATTAAAAAATAAAATCTTGCCAGTATTCTAATGTTTTACCTTCACTAAGTGAGCGGCTAGCAAGCATATTAGCTGTGGAAAGCCAGAGACAAAAATGTTTATATGATTCCCGTGCTAGTCTTTTGATGCCATTTTGTGACTAAACTTACTTATCCACTCATATTACTATATTAATTTTTTTGGTTCCAGTTTATGATTTGATATGGTACACTATGGTCTAAGGTTTTTTGAGATACTACTACTCATGGACATTTCAAAGTAATTATACAATTTTCAAACTTAGTTTGTACAATCTCTTTCTAATTCTTTGTTTCAACTGGTGGTGTGTAGTCTTCTAAACGTCTGTAAGTAAATTAGTGTACTCGTTAACTATCTAAACAAAGATTCACTAATTAGATTATTTTTGCAATTGCTCGCATTAGTCAAGTCAAAGCTTTGTAAAGATTTTAAACAAAGATTTTACTATAGATTTTTAACGTAACATTTTCTAAAAAGAATTGCAATAAGTAACTAGACTTTACGAGATAATCTAGGCTAAGATGAACTTTTTTGTTGGTACAGGATTATAGGTTAAAGTTAAATTAGTATAGCTTAAAATATGTTGTATTAGTGTAAACGTAGGCCTTTTCCTTTTTCTGAGTGGTAGACATTTAATTCTAATATATCTTATATTCTTTATCATAACTCGTTTTCTTTGCCTTTTCCTTGTAATCGTTTATGATCATAAGGTCATTGTTCTCTTTTGTTTGTGATTAAACATTTACTCACAACAGTCCAACAATAAATGTAGACAAAATTTATTAATCCTTGTAACTTATTTTTACTAACCACCAGATTCATGCTTTCGGAGAGGCGTCCCGTGTTGTTGCTGCTGGTATTCGTTTATATTGTATTCAATCGGGTCTGGTCAATATGGTTAGGAAAGCTTCGAATACTGATTATTCCCAGTCAAATTATCGAAATAATGTGTCAGTTCTTGATGAAGGGAGTTTAACTTCTACCAATTCACGATCATCATCATCTACGTCATTGCCAACTTCTGCACGTCCACCACCTTTGGTGCTTATATTCAGTCGTGGTTAGTTATCATAAATTTCCTTTTGTGATTCTTTCAAAAAAATGGTACTGGAACTTCATCCTTATTCACATGGTCATTGAGTTTTATTTTTGTGGTCCTATTTTCTCGGAATAAATTGCTGGGCGGTGTTCTAAACCTAGTATGCAGATGGTATGTATGCTTCTTGTTCTGTTTCTCTTTCGATCTCGACAAGATGTCGATCTGATTGATTGCGAATCCTGCAGAGACACTTTCAAATGTGTATCACCTTAAAGGATTATACAAATTGCTAATTTGTAATCATGATGATACCTCATGATAACTAAGCCAAGATAGCACTAAGGCACAGAGTTACTGACCATCATCATCACTGAGATCTTAATGATGTTGGAGACCAGTGGCTAGAAATATCATTCATATCCGATTGTTTGAAAATACGATTTTTTTTATTTTTCCTGATATCGTATTGTGTTTTGTTTGTATGCGTTATCTACTCGTTTTCAAATTGTCAGTCTTATTTCCTGTGTTGCTGTGCAGTGCTTATAAACTATCAACGTCTGTGCTGTTTCGTTTCCAACGGTTCTGCAGATTAAGTCATTTTGTAAAACAAAAACCTTCAAGTTTGACCTTGTCTAACAAAAACTCTCCCGGATAAAAATTTAGTAGTTACTATAGAAACATGGCCAGTCAGAGTAGAGAAAATTCGTAGGTTACTGGTATTCGCTAATGGGTGTCTTCGAAGCATTTCTCTTATAACTTGAGTAATCAATACCAAAGTTAGGAAACGAGTGCTAGGTGAGGATGGCAGATCATTAGATGAGGTAGTGAAACTTCGTCAGTTGAGGTGGTTAGGACATGTTTTACTTATGCCCAACCACTGACTTCCTCGATGAGCGATGTTTTGTGGTGTAAAGTTAGACTGGAAGAAAGCTAGGGGCGGCCAAGCCAAAACATTGCACCAATCCATGAGTTCACTGATAAGTGGACTGAGCCATGTTGTTATGTGTAGACTACCTGGTTGGGGTCCACGAGACGACAGTAACCGATGGTTAGAGATCTTGAACGACATGGCTAAAATTCGTTTGCAATGTCGCAGGTGCATCCACTCTTTCTGTCCTCTCAAATTCTAATCTTCTGAATTGTTCATCACCTTTATCTTTCTCTTTCTAAATTTATTTCACTGAGTTACATTTCTTGAATAAGTTCTTCGAACCCTAATCTTCTCCATTACCATCAATACATCCATAATCTCTACCACTATTGGATTTGAACTGACAATTTCGTCTTTGTGATAAGTGGTATGGTTACCTGAACTTATGTATGTACGTACAAAGTTCTACGTTGTAAGTAATTGACTGACTTTCTTTTTGTTAAGGTTATCTGATCGAAGATTCCATTTTCATTTGATTCCATAGATCTGGATTATATAACGCCCCTTTTAGTTCCTATGACATTTGAAGCTTTGATCCACGAAGTTATTGGAATAGAACTAGGTATGTGAACATACAGTTTTTTATTTTTGGTTACTTCTTAATTATTTCCATCCTCTTTACTACTAAGTTTCTTTATTTTGAAAATCTCTAATCTTTTATCGTATGACTGTTACACTCTATGATGTGAACAGTTGTTCGTGGAATTTTTGTGTACACATTTATGTTTATAACTTACAAAAAACTTAACTTGACTTAGCTATTCCATGGTAATTTTTATTCGTGTTTTCAAAAAGAATATTCCAGGAAATACTTCCAAACTATATTTAATCTTATTTCATATGCTTTATTCACTTATTAATTGAATTCATTTGTTGTGTTAATGATAAATCTTTTCGGTTTTGTTGGCATAAGTTGTTATGTTAAAATTCATATTTAATGTTTTGCAACGTCGTATGACTAAACGTTCCAACTGTTTGAAGATAACCTAAAGAATAATTAAATATTAATTATCTGTTCCATTATGATCCAAGTGTGTAGCATTTTGCGTTTGTTTTTTTCTTTTGTTATATTTGATGATCCTGAGCTGTTAAGACATCATGGTCATGGTAAGATAAGGTTCCGTAGCTGTGCATCCTCTCAGATGTATCATGCAGTGCTATCATCTGGACAATATTTCTAGGATAGTAGGCAATCGCAGTTGGAAGTTTACTCATATAACATAAATAGACAATTAGAAAGCTAACTCTTGTTTTGGACTTAACAATAAATAAGAAAATGATGCGTTATTTGGTATTCTAGCTGTCAAAGCAAATTAAGTTTGTTTTTAATTCCCGTGATTTGTTCTATACGTCTCATAAATTACGCTTATTTGTTCTCGAAAGAAACAAATAGGCACGTTATAATCTACAAGGATGGCGCTTTCAGTTCCTACTTTCAGCATGTTCGCTATATTTACCCTAAAAATTTGTCTTTAAGAAAAGTGAAACTTCGCCTTGAGCCCCTCTGGCGCTACTGCCGGTACAAAGTACGGATCAAGGAGGAGGGCTGGACATGCGGTTGGCGGCTCCATCCCGTACAAATCTAACTCGCTAAAAAAACGCTAACCGGAAAATCAAAAAAAAACTGAGATAAACCTAATAAGTTTGATTTATATACATTCAAAGTTGAATTACTAAAGTAATGGTACTGTGGTCTATATAACTAATTGGTATAATTTCATTGTATATTTGAAATTTATGAGGATAGAAAAATTCTTATCAGTGAATTTCAATTGACCAGCTTGTTAGTAAGTAGTTTTGTATGGCAGAATGCAACAATAATAAAATGGGTGCTTTGTTCGGACGAAGTAAGCATCAGTTTTACTTAGTTACCGTGAGATAATTCTTAATACTTTGGGTAATTCTTTAGCACACTATCATTATTTCTTTCGTATCTAAATTTCGCATTTTATTTAGTTTTCTATCAATTAAAATGTGATCACTACAATATGTGTCTATCTCTAATCTCTTTTTTTTTTGTTCAAACATATTAGGTCAAGTTGAATTACCTCCAGAATGTGCTGATGATTCAACACCACAAAAACAAATTCTTGACAGTGCAAAACTACACTACTATAAAGTAATTTTTGTAGACCATCATTGTTATCGTTATAATTAACATTGTTTACTAGGTGGTTTTTTTTTAAACACCAGTTATTGAACATTTAATCGATTCTATTACACTCAAATTTATACTGATAAGAAGATTAAGTTTATTTATTGCATGTTAATCACATTAATCCTTGACTTCTTTTTTTTTTTCTTATTCACGTGACGATCACAACATATCGTTAATAGGTTAAACTTCTAAATAGATTCTTACTACAATCTATCAGTGTGGAATGATCACTGCCAGATCTAATTCCCATATCATTCAGATCTCTTTCTAATATTATTAAATATACATTACTGTAGACTACTCATAAACTTAAAATGAAACAACTATTTCATTTTTTTTAGAGTTAATATTAACCAATAATGAAATCTAGTTTGTATTATTCATCTCGGTTTTTTAAAGATTCCAAACAAATGATCATTAGTTTATAAGACCTTTTATCTAATTTGAATGAACGCTTTCGCTGCATTTGGGGGAGCCGAGTTAATGTTAACATTCTTTTTATAAATTCCTTGCAATAATTATTCATCATCACAGTAGATATAAATAAATTCATTTCAGGTTTCTTTTTTTTTCACTTGGTTCAATGACAAGTTTTATGAACTTTGTTTAATTGAAATTCTTAACAACTGTCACTGGTGTGGAATGGAATTGTGTTGACTTATAGTCTAAATATTGTCCAAAATATGATTAGCTTTCGGAATATAATAATTTTCAAATAATTTTTACGCTTCTTTCCAACTAAACAGTTCAGAAAAGCTGATTTTTAATCAACAGATTCCATCTCCTTAGTGAATTTGATTTTGTCAGATATACGATTGACGTTTTCATCAAGTTCGTCCAGTCCTTTTTCATTTATATGATTACTAAGGTGTCATCTACGTATCTCAACCAGACTTTTAATGGATGGCAATATTCAGATTTCACATGTTTTCAATGAATGCATAAATAAGTTAGCAACAATTGGGGGCACCGATGATCCCGTAGCTATATGTCGAAAACTAAATAAACTAGAATGTAAACATCGATCAAGAGCTTTTGTAATATCTGAGGGGTCTAGTAAATATCGTTGTTTAATTTAAGTACTATAATTTGATTACTTATAAACAATATCTAATGACTTCTTAATAGTAGTAACATTAGTGGACAAAAAGTAAACACCAAAACTTGCTTCAATTCATTAGAATTTTTAAACTCCAGATTTTATTTATTCTTTATTTTCATCACAAAGTAATTTTAGTAGTAAATATATTGGAAACGACAAAGTGCCAGACAATTGTTACATCTTACTTCCAGATTCTTCATTGTACATACATTTAAATAGGATCAAACTGAGGTCCTTTAAGTTTTCTAGCTAATACAATAATGACTTATAACCATTGAATCATCAACAGTTCAAGATGAAAATAATCTTCGAAATATTAGAGATTTCACCATAAAATCACTTTCTTCAATAATAACCATATCTACTCACTGACGACGAATCTCGATGAATTTTTTTCAAAAACTCTAGAGGAAAGTTGAGCGAATCACCGGTAAAGGAAGTAAATCATCGAGAACTATGTTCACTGTTTAAGTTTCTCTATAATTTTGCTTGTTTTGTCTTATCACTGTCATAATCCAAGTTCTTAAATAGCACTTTCTTCATTTTCATCATTATGATTAATGTTTTTCAATAGTCCATCCTGACATTATAATATATCACTATTTCTTGAACAGTGTAGCACATATTTTTGTGTAGTTAGCCTACTATATCCTTTATATATCGTTCCTAGTCGATTATTCTGTGAAGCATGTCTTAACTGAAACTTTTTACATATGAATGTATCATTCATGTTTAAGACAAAATCAAATTAAGCATCTGTCAGCCAACTCATTTTTATACCTTGTAATATTAATTGTAATAGTGTTAACAGAAATCGGCCTGGCTTAGTGGTATATGACGGTTTCATTTACTGTGAAACCTTATAATGTTGTCTGTATTGGGGTAAAGGTTGAATATATATTGATAATAAGGTAATAATTATAATAATTATCATTTTTATGACTAACCAAATTATAATAACGTATATTCATATAAATAAAATTTCTGATATCGGTTTCATACACTCTGGATCACTTTAGAGTAATTTTTATTCATTCTATTCGGCTATTTGAATTTTCATTAGACAGACGATGTACGAGCGAATAACCATTCTATATTCTTATTTATTTTACTGGTCACTTAAAAATGTCAGTGAAAAGCCTAGTTATTTTATGCAAATAAATCTTTTTATGTCAAAATCACCCCATACTAGTTTATTAAGTCTTGGACGTCCTCAATAAAACTCAATGTCTGTTTTTGTAACATAAAAAAATTGTTAATTCAAATAGCTAACTATGGTTGTACTTTTGCCCTTTCAATCATATAGCCGATTCGGTATGACATATTTCTGTAAATGTTTTTGACGATGATTCTATCCAAGTTGAATGTAATGATTAATAATATCATCTTTTATTCATACCATTTTTTTTTTCGAAGGATATTAGAGATGTTCATATATCTCGTGTTCATTCATTACTTCTGGATTGGCGTGGTAAACTTCAAGATTCACGAGGTGATCTAGAAATGCAATTGGTTAGTCATAAACCTCATAGTCAACAGAAACAATATTCTAGCTCGAATTTAAATCAAAATATTAGTAGTACTAATCATACTCATAATTTACGGAATATTAGTACACGTCTAGGTCCATTATTGGCTAAACGACGTGAATTGTCATTTTTGTTAGCATGTTTAGAACAAGTATTATGTACAATGACACGTAAAGAACGTGTGGAAGATCTACGAACTGCACAAAGTTTATTATTACAATCCGGTAGTGGTGGAACTCTAGCAGTTGGTCAAGTTGGTATTCCTTCTATTGATAATGATAGTGACTCTGATATTTCTGATCGTAAACGGAAATTTCCTCCAGTTTCAATTGGTGGTTCGTGTGGCAATTTATCGGATGATTTAAATTCTTTACCTATGCGTTTAGCTATCGAATGGTTGACTACACAGTGAGTTATAACTTGTTCAAAATTGTTCATCAAAAATTTAAGTTTGTCAACTTTTTTTAGTAGTTTTATATTTAGGGCACCTAAACATGTACTTAAATCGTTACAGAAAAAAAAACCCAACCGAAGCTGCTACCTTGACGTGGTGGTCGGGCTTGCCTATCTTCATGACCCAACCGAGCTATATCGGCTGGAACTTATGTTCCTGATGGTTCTACCATGTCAAGCAGGTCGATTGGAGAACGATGAGACTAAAAGCAGCTACTCAAGGTCTGAGGGCGAAGTCGTACTGCTGACTGCAGAGGGGTGTGACAGCAGTAAGGTGTTTCCCTCGGACGACCGGCATCTGCAGCGATGCTGCCTTCTCACAAGGAAGGAAGGGTTAGAAAAGGTCGACCCTAAAAATATCAAACCTCACCCTACCTCACGGATTTCCGTCTCCGGCAGTAAGGGTGCCAACTAAGGGCTTTTAAAACAGTAAAGCTAATACTCAAAAAACCCTTCATAAAAAGGCCGTGTGTGACGGGCCTCAAGCAGCTGTCGCTTGGACTCTGCAGTCACGCAACCAGGTTGTTAAGACCAACACAAATCTACCTTCCTTTTCAGATTCTTCAAGAAACAACCTTCCACGGTCTGGGCAGCCGGGAAGTAACAACCGCCCTCATACCCGTAACAGCACACGAAACTGACTGACAGAAAAAAAAATTAAATGGTTCAATAAAAATTAATCATAAACATTCATTATCCTCTATTACTAGACACACAATTGAAACAAATTATAACATTTATGGTAACGGGTAATCAGTATCTTAAGGTTTTAAATGTTTGTTAGTATCATTTGTTTTATCGCTTCGGATTTCTCGTTTAGTTCATGCTTATTTTTTATGATTTGATTGTCAAAAAGAAAGATAATGTAATATAGCTGTAAAACGTTTTGAAAGGTCAATAAAAGTAATAAATTTGTTCATGAGTGTCGATTATTCAGTATCAATATACGTGCTTTCATTTTGGACTCATTGATTTTTATGTGACGGTTTTTAGCCATGGTGATCACTTAATTGATGGGCTTCGTTTGATTGCACTGAACTGTGTTTTACATGATGGCTTAGGTGATGAATTGTACGAGGTAATGAGACGTGCTGTAATGCATGCTGCTGGTCAAATCACCTTTCCTATGCTTGAAGCATTATGCTCACTTGGGTTATTGTGTCCTCGTTCAAAATTCCCAGAAGTATCATCTACAAAGACGTCTATTGTGAACAATCATTTCATTGACCCACAATCAAGCATGTTTTTGGTTCAAACAGATGATTCAACAAAAAAATCCACTCATGCACTATCTCGTACTGTTGCTAAGCTAAAATTAACACAACAACAAAAATCTCGTTACAAGTAAGATTTAAATTTCAATGATTAAACAAATTGAATTGGTTCATTTTTTTGCCGTATTTAATTAAAAGTTACTACTGTGACATTGGAAATGTAGACTAGACCATTAGATTCCAGCTCAGTGGTCTAAAGTTAATACACTCTTTACGAAACTGTTAGATTCCCAGTCATATCCTTGGTGAGGTTGTAGCTGTGCGATGTCTAAGACCAACGCTAATCTACATTCCTTGTTAGGTCCCTCAAGAAACTCCCAGTGTAGGCAGCCGGGAAGTGAAACCCGCCCTAATACCCGTAACAGCACACGAGACCAAATCGGTCACAATCAAATCCTTCCTACACCCCCTAACATCTCTTTTATCACTACGACTAAGCCCGTTCACATTCCTTTATCACCGCGTACCGCTAATACAAACTACCCCAGTTCACAAAACGTTATTCCTGGTCTTCTGAACCCGAATCTAAACCACATGTCGGGGCTTTCAATGTTCAAACTTTGTGTCAAATAGGACAACAGGATTCATTATCTAAAACTTTGGAATCCCATGCCATCGATGTATGTTGCGTCTCCGAAACGCGCATACAGGATCCGAGCAAAATCATTAATTTGATTGTACCGTATCCAGATAGCGAATCAACTCGGTTCACTCTTCGTGTATCTGGAAGCCTCGCTGCTGCTTCTCGTGCCTCGCGGTGTAGGTATAGTATTAGGTCCTCAGGCAGAACTAGCTCTATTAGACTTCATCCCAGTAAACAGACGCTTATGCGCTGTCCGACTAAACGGAACAGTGAAAACCCGTGAAGACATGGAAACTCGCCGTTGCCTCTTCGTCTTATCTGCCTACGCTCCCACCGACTGCAGTTCTGACAAGATAAAAGACGGGTTTTACAGAAAGCTTCCAGAACTCCAAAAAGTGAAGCGCTCTGATATAGTAATGATAGCTGGTGAACTTAATGCTTAGGTTGGTAGACTAAGTGAAAAGGAAAGACCCCTGGGTGGTTCTTATGGTTTCGCGGCTGGTCGAACAGATAATAGTGACCGTCTGTTGCAGCTGTGCTCAGATAACCGCCTGACTCTGAACATAATGAAGAGCAAAGTCAGCTTAGGCGTAGGCTGGTAGAAAGCCTACGCAATTATCGCGAACAGTGGTGGGTATCGAAGGCAAGAGCGATGGACAAGGCAGAGACGATAGGTAACAGTAGACAACTGTTACGCATACTCAAGGAAACCGGTATAAGAAATCCATCTGTTAGCGAAACTATCTCAGAAAAGGATGGGCTTATGATTCATTCTCAACCCATGAAATTGGATCGATGGGCTGAGCACTTCAGTTGCCTACGATCTCCAGTTATCCTGCATGGCAAATCGATATAAGTCCTCCGAGTCTTTATGAAGTTCAGAAAGTGATAGAAAATCTGAAGCGGTGGAGAGCAGCGGGTCCTGATAGATTTACCCCTGAGATTTTTAAGGATGATGTTCCTGTTTTAGCAGATAGATTGACTAAGATCATATGTAGAATCTTAGAACTGAACATAATCCCACCTGACTGGTCTCAATTACTGATTGTCTCAGTCCACAAAAAAGGACAGAAGTCCTCTTGCGTCAATCATAGAGTAATCAGTTTAACTAATATGGTGTCTAAAATGTTAGCCTCGATAATACTGAAACGCCTAATTAGGGCTTGTGAAGAGCAGACTTGAGAAAATCAAGCTGGTTTCAGACCTGGATGTGGATGTATAGAACATATATTCACTCTTCGTCAGGTTCTGAAACATAGATTAAGATTATTTATTATTTATTAAGAAAGTTCATGTTTGTTTTATGCCATTTCAGATGTGAATTAGCTAGACTGAAAGATTGTCGGTCATTGAAAAAAACGTGGCATTAACTCATCCGGCCATCGACCATCTCATCAGTGAAGTGTGACAAAGCCTATAAATCCAGAGTAAACTTAACACGATTATCGTATTGATTCGTTGTCAGTGTCTGTCATTGAAAGGATTACTAAAGAAGTACTTTCACCTTAGACAGGCTCTCTACTCGAAGACGACTGGTCAAATTAGAGCTTATAACGAACTATCACCGGAATCGATTGTTTCAACCGGTGTTCATAAAGGCTAGATATCTTCGAAACATTGCTTGTGTATCCTGGGACAACCTAGTAAGCAATGCTGTCGTTAGAAAACGAGTACTAGGTAGGGATGGCAAATCAATAGATGAAGTATTGAAACTTCATCGGTTGAGGTGGTTAGGACATGTTTTACTTTGTCCCATCCACCGACTGCCTCGATGAGCGGTGCTTTGTGTTATGGGATTAGGTTTGAAGAAAGCTAGCAGCGAATAGACGATAACCCTAACCTTAACCGAATAAGGATAATTGACTCACATAAATATTATTTTCATTTCTTTGCAATTCCAAATTTTTCTTGAAGATCACATAGTTCCATTAGTTGATACTGGCCAGAACTGTACGGCGTTTTCATTATCATTACACATCGTGACTTCTAGTGACGTGATAATTCTGATAGCTAAAAGTTTCATTATCACATTGTTAGTTAGTTATGCAAATAATTACATGTTATTTAAATTTTAGAATTATGGCGCTGGTACATTCATTCTTTGTATTCCTCATCACCTTTATCTAATAATACCGTCAAACCCTACAACTTCCGATTACTGCTCATACTTCTACTACTATGGGATTTAAAGTGACAATTTCATCTCTATGCTAATGTGGTATGGCAACATGAACTGATATACGTACGTACGAAGTTCTATGTTGTTGCTGATTGACTAACTGACTTTTTTAAGATTATCTTTATTACTGGAAATAGATTTGAATACATTTCTTAAAATAATTTTTTCTTCTTTCAGTTATTTACATCATCTATTACAATTGAGCAATTGGAAACAGGCTAATCGACATGTTGATCGTACAATAGTTTCACCTACATATGTTTATTCTGGTCAACATTGTCCGTTAGTTGTTCGACTTTTAGAGTCTATTTGGTCAGCCAGTCTCTTAGATTCCAAATTTCAGTCTGTTAAATCAGATTCTTCTGCTAATGAACAAAATCATTCAGACTTTGAAATAATTTCTCAGCCACAATTGATTGAAGCACTTAAACGAATGGGTTTCTCATCTGAAGGTTAGTTTTACTTTTTATTTAGTGTCTGTTACTTACAAATAAACAGATTTTTAATACACTGTATAAGTCTTATGTTCTTGACTAGAGAAATCAACATTTTATACTGTTAAGTGATAATGAAACAAAAACTTTTTACCTCGAACTTTAATTCATACTGCTATATATATAGTTCGAATAGTTTTGTTGTTAGAGCAAATTAAAATCAATTTCATCGTCATTTTTCATTGCAGTTTTAAGGTTGGTTAAAAGTGTATATTTTAAAAGTAAATACGTTTACTAAATGATAAATCTTCACTGGTACATATTTTTTTTCACATCTTTGCTGGTCAGTGGAACAACATTTATGGAGTGACAAGCATATTATTGATTTATATATTATCAGTACAAATCCATTCTCATTAAATTATGATCATCTCATTCAATCCAATCAATAAATTGTTTATCAATAGGATAAAATCAAATTCTGATAATTTGTTTTTTTCTGTTTATTCACATTTCTCATTTCCAATTTTAATTAAATAGAAAAATCTATCTGTGTAAAGTATGCATGATATCATGTAGGGGCGTCGATATTTATTTCCTAAATATTTGCTTAATGATAGTTCATTATTATTCTAAAACTATTATGCATTACTAACAACTAAACATCTAACTTTTTATTGATATTTTTAAAGGATGTAAATAATTAAATTTATGTAAATAACATTAAAAAAATTTTTTTGAAATCTTTTATCCCATAAGTTGCTTCAAACCTCGGCCTTGTTAATCTCTGTGATCCAACATTAACAGCTGCAGGATATCACAATGACATAGTTATCAAGAGAAATCGTCTAAACGCCCCAGCTGCACATCCTTTACCTATTGTAAGCATTGATCAACCCATAGTTGTAGCATTTCCAGGTGGTTGTACGTATGGTGAAGTTGCAGCTCTTAGATTTGTTGCTAGACGGAGAAGATGGAATCTACTTATTGCTACATCATGTATGCTTACATCACGAGACTTGTTACAACAAGCTGGGCAAGCAGCCATGAACGTGAACTCGCTATAAGTCTTAAAATTTTTTTCATTAATCCCTCCTCATATTTTTGTGTCTGAATCTACATTCCCACGTTTTTTTATGTTGACCGAAACTAGTGTCTTTTCAGTCCTGTTGTTATTTGTTCTACTTAAACAATGGATATTTTCCGCCTAAATAGGTTTCCGGTGTGATTTTGTATGTAACTTGTTCACTTCTATGTCCACGCATCCCTGTTATCAGTGTTAATCGATATATATATATATATATATCTTTTGTACTTTTTTGTTTGATTTCACAAATTATTTTTGCACTTTTGTACGTTTCATCCTTTCAAAAACATAAAAATTTCTCTGTAATACACTTTTGTTGGATTATCCGTATACTTCAGTCAGACAAGAACCTTTCTCGTGAATTTATCAAGTTTGAATTCTATATGACATGTATAAGTAATCGGAGTTCTAGTGGTTCTTGAGATATTGTTTTTTCCCGCTAATTAAATTCTACTAGCCTGTTAGATTAATTTAGGGATTAGGGTGAAGCTTAACACTATGTGAAATTTTTTTCAATTTCTATGTTTATTTCTACCTCAGTGGATTTTCATGCATTACAAATGGTGTTGATTGTTGTTGATACCGCTTTTGAAAAACATTCATCAATAGTTCAAGCTTCTGAGTACAACACATTTTAAAAAATGCAGACAACTATAATTTTTAGTTATACGCATTGAGAGAATTTCAAATTGGAAACTACAAATTTCTGAAATCATTTATTTGATCACCTTGATTTGTAACAGTGATAATAATATTATTATTTACTCTAAAATATCAATGTGTTCTATGAGGTATATCAATTTACATACAAGATCACATCGTTACAAATGCTACCACATCTAATAGCATGTTCCTGCTATTTTACAGACATCGTCGATTTGATACAATGACATTACAAATAGGGTAGGTATCAAGCAGAGTTCGTAAATGGTATGATTCCGAGGTGATTCAAGAAACAATGTTAAGGGTGATTCACTTGTAGAGTATTTGTGTCATGAAACAGCTTAGTAAGTTTATATTTGTTAGAAAGTGTCCATTGAGAGGCGCGTAGTGTAAGCTGCGACCTTGACGAACTCATACGTAAGGTGTATGTTGAGTATGAGAAGAAGCTCTATGATTGTTCACTGCAGAGAAGGTGAAAAGAAAAATAGAACAGCAATGCTGCTGAATATATGACCAGAGCATTATTTAACCGTTTATAGTGGGTCAGGAGAAGTAATGGAATGTCAGTAAATAAAACTCGTACTGGCTGCTAAGATTAGAATAAATTATAACAGTATAGTCTTCAAATTAGAGAGTATAGAAACTAACAACAATGAGCTGTGATGTGTACCAATATGGATAGTGGAAAAGAAGTTGGAAGTTTGTTCATTAAAGTCGAAGGTGCAGTAATAAAAGTGAAGTTTGTAAAAAACATTGATGACTATATTGTCTATCTTTTTTTCATCAAATGCCAACTGTACGTCATACTTTAAGTGCCTGACTAAGCATGTTGTAGGTTATCTTGGTAGAACAGCTATCCCAGCATAAGTTGGGAACGTGAGTCTAAGGTGTAGCAAGCGCACGAAAGCAACCTCAGAATCTCTGGATAGTCTCATCAATGAAAAATAGTGTGAAGCAAACAAGAATTTCTGCCTCAAAAACACTGGTGATTTAAAGTCATCGCCCTCACCACCAGTGTTTGCTTGTCAGTAACCCCGCTCTCACTCATTGTTGATAAAGACCTTATGTAGTTTGTGAGATGTGAAGATAACACTCATAGACCGTCAGGGTGTTCATGTGTTGAAATTTGTGTCATATCAACTTATCGATTCAGTCCATACAACAAAAATAAACACATTGTATAGCTTGGTTTTTAATGTTATTCCACTAAGGGCCCTACATGTTAATATTTTACCCGAAAACATTTTTCGTCTTAACCTTCAAATTCCCGTTTGGCATTATCTTACGGTCCCGTCATCTATTTTCCCTCTTTAAACAGACCAGAAATTTCCAAAATTTATGAATAACAATGTATCTGAGTGCTCAAGGTTGAGGGATTCATCAATCAATAGCTAATCGAAAATTGACTTGAGTAAGTCGACTCTATACCAAAAGCAAGTCTTTGCGAAATGGTGTTCAAAATTGTGGTGATATTCAAACTGATTGCTTCTCTCAACAAACTTGCTGAAATACTTACTTTTTCGATGTTTTAGGTGTTACAGAAATGAACCTGATTCGTTGAATGTACCATATTTACGGTGACTTGTCGGACAAACTAGTATGACGTTTCGCAAGCATTCCTATGGACTATTTCCTCAGGCGATGACTAGACATTGTTTTTTGTCGAAGACTTAGGCAGTCACGAAGCTTCGCTTTATGTCTTGCTACTGGTAATCGAAAAGATGAGTCATGATAAAAACTTGCGTTGTCTCAATGTACATATTACTTGGTACACCAACTAATTCAAGTGTGTCTTTCAATAAATACTTAAGGACCTAACATCATACTACTTCGATGGTTTTACACTGAAACACATTTATGCTGACCAATTCTGAGGACATTTTTTATGCAGCCAATTTCTCCATAACTTACAATAAAATTCAATTGAATAACGTTACTGGATTTCGATTACTCATAGTGTCACCGGTCTGACGATATGAAATAATTATTTTTGTTTTAGAACTTACATACTAGACATAATTACTTCTTGTGGGTCTTTGCATGAAAGATAAGTTCCTACTACTGACTCTTATTGTTTACCTCCTAGTTTACCTATTCCTCCAGCGTCACTTACCGCTCCATAACTCCTACTCATCACATCTAGAAATACGTTACTCCGATGCAAAATTGGAATTCTCATCCGTAATGAATAAACGCATGTGCTATTACAGTCATAATTAGTCGACCAAAACCGGCCATGTATATCACTGGTTGTAAACTTCTAGTGGTGATCGAGTCGAGATTGACTATGATCACCACAAAATACTAATTACTATCCCCTCACCAAAATCAGAAATAAGTCCAGGGTAAAGAATTTATTTGAAGGAGAAACTAGGCGTTACACCGAGCAGTAAGTTATGAAGGATGGAAATAAAGCAAAAAAAGAACGTTGCGCGCAAGCTTTTTCGGTACAGTTAAACAAAACGAGCACAATAATAAATATTTTCTTTTCATTAATTGCGTTTTATTCGTAGAGGTGTTCCACTACAAACTGAACAGATGACGTGGAAATAACTGAGTTATCTTTTCTACAGGACTTACTGAATAGGAGTAAGCGAAGCTTGAAAAACAATTTTGATGAATACAAGGTTAAGCATCATCTATTGTTACATATTCATGTGGATAATAAGTATACTCTGGATTTAGTTACGAATTTTAACTCCCTGGAGATTTATTTCAGTACTATTCCAGTCAAGCTAGAAGTAAATAAACCCTCTTAAATAATTAATTCTGTAAGCCTTCTACATCAATACTGACCTCATTAGCTTTACCGAACAAACCCTAGCTGAAGGCACACGGTCTCGCATCTTCGTAAATCATCAATGGGTGTACCGTGCTACGCATTTCTTCGTTACAACTAGTCAGTTTAGATAACACATTTCGCGACATACCAACTATCTGTTAAACATCCCTTCAGTCCCAACCTCTGGAAACTCCTAGCTGTTTTGTTCCGTATAGCAGTTTCAACAATCTTTTCAAAGCCAAGGACTCACTCCGTTCATCTTCTTTTTGCTCGTTTTCAAACAAGAATTCTTTCGAGAACCCGACAGCTTACTTAAAATATTTGGCATAATTCTGGTGCAAGCATTCAGGTTGCTAATGCTTTGTTATATATAACTTTCTCTAACAGTTACCGCGTAACTGACCCGCCTTAACTTGCTGAAGTTCAAAAAGGAGATACCAGTGTGCAACATGAGTTATCGTCGACAATTCTAAAAGCGACTGCAGTGTTTCGCGTGGTTTAGAAATGTGATCAACCAAATTGTTTGCAGAGCATATGAACTTAGATTAGCCTTATTCTGTTTATCTAGGACGTGTTTATTAGACAGAGATACTGTCAGGTTGTCCAATAGTCATTAAATTTACGAGTTGTTTGATAAAATTCGGGCACCCATCCTCATTTGTCCCGACCTGTGGAGGGGTTATTGGTATTTCATAATATTGGGAGTTTGTTTAAGCCAATCAAATGGTTGGCTACACCATGTTTATTTAGCAGTAATCTCACAATGGTTCAAACAGAACCGTCTGAATTGTCTGGGTATTCGTGACCTACTGTGCGAATTGTACCACATTCGTTTTGGTAATCCGTTCCAGTTTCTAAGACTTGTTTTCATCATGGCAGCAATCTCTTTAGTGGTGAGAGATACCACTAAATGTTCCATACTATCCCGTCATATATATAAAAATAAATCCATGTTTGAGTCTTTTATTGAAGGAGAAAATAGGCATTACATGGGGAGCAGCAAGGTAAGAATAATGGCAGTGATAATTCGTTATAAGCTCTAATTCGACCAGTTGTCTTTGAGTAGAGAGCCTGTCTAAGGTGAAAGTACTTCTTTAGTAATCCTTTCAATGACAGACACTGACAACGAATCAATACGATAATCGTGTTAAGTTTACTCTGGATTTATAGGCTTTGTCACACTTCGCTGAGATGGTCAATGGCCTGATGAGTTAATGCTATGTTTTTTTCAATGACTGACAATCTTTCAGTCCAGTTAATGCATATCTGAATTGACGTAAAAATGACGTGAACTTTCTTAACAAACTAAATCGCATGGCCTGATAGACTGATTCATTAAGTAAACTACGTCTAATCGTAGCGTCGCCTATGCGGTTGCTCCAAAGCCATACTCTAGGCCAAGAAGCCAGTCTCCTGGTATAGGATCCACTCCTGGAAATTCAAACGAAGATAATTCAAACCGGCCGGATCTCTCTGGTCTGCTCACCACGAGCTATAGTGAGGCGTCTGAGTGTTATTGAGGCCAGTATCTTAGA